CCTCAATATGGTTCCTTGCTACCTTAAAGCCAGCCAAGAAGAGACTCAAAAGATGAATATACAACCTTATGTTATGTATTATATATGTAATCATATACTTTTGCCATATTCTATCAGTTTGAAGCAAGTCACAAGTCCAGCCCGTACTCAATAGAGTGGAGGGTATTCCACAAGGGTGTGAACAAAAAGAGGCAGCAATAATGCAGGCCACATTAAGAGTCTGTCGTCACAGCTAGTCTAGTTTATTGGAGGATAAAAATTGTCAAAAATTGTGTAAGGTCTGAAATTTTACCCTACTTGAAATCTAATAAGTAAATTTACCACAATTTCATGGTTGCTGAAAGCAGAGACATGATTTCTGGGTCAGAGATAAAGAATTTTAATTTTTACAGAACTAGCAGTAGCCAGAATATCATTTTTTTCTACTGATTTTCTGAGCCCCAATCTCCCTGTGGAGTGTACCAAGTAATGTCCATGCAAACACTAGTTGTGTTACATGAGCGCTCTGAGCTTATGACACCTGAATCTTTCACAGCAGCCAGTAAGTATGCTTACCTTTTGTTCTGGAGAGAGCAAGGATGTTGGTACCACAATTTCTCATACTGGTCTATTGGTAAACAGAAAACAAAAATTGTACTTAGAGAAAATGTGGTTGTAGTACTTAAAAAAGAAAAGGCAATAGAAGTTTCTTTGTTTTGAATTCCATGTGGCAGTTCATTTCCAAACTACTTAAAATATTTCCATAATAAAATATATGTAACATATTTGAATTTTAAAAAGTAAAAAAATGACAAAAGTCATTTATAAGTAGATGTGAGATTCTTAACATAGCTAGCCAGACTTTCCAAAGGACTAAAGTAAAATTTCCTTTTAATTGGAGTCAAGAGAATAATAAGGGTGAAAAGAAGCATCTCCCAAAAGCAAATATTTTTGTAAAAAAATTCAAGACTTTTTTCCCCAGTTAGAAGTAGATTATAATAAAGAAAAATTTTTCTTGTCATGTTATTTTAATTTTTTCAAGGCATATAACTTTAAATAATAATTTTAGGGGAGATTAACTTTGGTAATTTCTTTTCAGAATTATGTATATGCATATATATGTGTTTGTGAGTCTGTGTTATATATTTTGTTTTACTATTTCTATAAAATATTACTGATAATTTGTGATGTGGATGAGGGGGGTAGTTAGAGAAAAGAGAAGTCCTTCATAAGAGGAGTAAGTTTTTATTACAAAACTGAACAAGGATAATGGGAATGTGTGGTAAATTTTACAACATTTATATACAAGTCACAAATTTACATTAATAAGTAAATTAAGGCATTTTCCCTAGTATGTAGAAACAACTATAATGGCATTAGAAACTAAAACAAAAGAAAAAAAGGAAGAAGAAACAAAACCAGGTAATCATCAAAGGAAACATCTATCTTGTGTTCAAAATTACTTTTAAAATGTGTCACAGTGATGAGAATGCTTTGTGCAAATGTCCAAAATGTAACCCATGGTGAGTTCCAACTAGAAAACCACTTTATTCTGCCTCCCCCAAAACTGACCTTTTAAAACTGTGCTGAAGCTAATTTTTCCTTTTTCTCTGGGTTTAAATTTGAGAAGCCTATAGCTTATCTCTTAACTTTTCACTTGTGTCTTAGTCTACTCAGGTTTCCATAACAAAATAACATAGACTGAGTGGTCTAAACAACAGAAATTTTATTGTCTCACAATTCTGGAGGCTGAAAGTTCAACATCAAACCAATTTGGTTTCTGGAGAGGGCTCATTTCTTGGCTTGCAGTTGGCTTCCTTTTCACTTATCTTCACATGTTCTTACCTCAGTATGAAACCACCTCACCTCAGGATTTTATAAAATCGATTAAGAAAAAAAAAATCCAGCTATTCACAGCAGCAATCATTATGCCAACTTGCCTTTTGGCTCACTTACTTGTAGAGTCACTACTCCAGTGTAATGTGGCCCTTGTCACAAGACTCTTTTCATTTTCTATTCTATAAAGTCTAAGACATTGTGAGATGATAAGCCTTCTATTAGAGCTTCTTTCCTAAGTTCTTCATACGAAGAAAACTACAGATGCCAGCTGGTCTGGTGGGCCCAGTAAGAAGCTGACTCATGAAGAAATGCAGTTGCTGCATCTTGATGATTTCATGTCCCTTATCCTGACCAGTTGATGACCTCAAATTTTCCAGCCCCTCACTCTCCACAAATCCCCTTGAAAACCCTTGCCCACAGCCCCTTGACAAAATGGATTTGAGGCTTGAGAATCTTCTCATTTCCTCATTGCGTGAGTTGTGATTATTAAACCCTTTCTCTGCTGCAACCCTGCTGTCAGTGTATTGGTCTGTGGCTGTGCAGTGGACATAGAAAACTGGCAGTCCTGTAACAAATGGGTGTGCAGCTGCGGGTAGAAGTAGGGGTGGCAGGAGAAGAGAAAGAGTTAGAAAAAAAGAAAAAGAACGCTTTCTCTGGTGTCTCTTCTTATGAAGACACTTATCCTACTGGATTAAGGTCACACTCTTATGACTTCATTTAACCTTAATTACTTCCTTAGAGGACATGTCTCCAAATTCAACCTCACTGTGGGTTAGGGCTTCAACATATGAATTTGTAGAGATGCAAACATTCAGTTTATAGCAGTCAGTAAATAGAAAGTTTTATTCCTCTTTAACCTCAAACATTCTCACTTCAGTAATTTTTATGTCCATTCGAGTACAAAAATTAAAAATCATGAAATTCCTTCAAAATTGTAACATGTGCTTTCTCTGCCCATCTTACTTTTCTTACCCCTCCTGTAGCTTACTGGCAACGATGAGGGAGGATAATGAATTAAAAATAGGCAAGGAGCAAGAGTGGCCCAGTTAGTCTCATCAGTCAAGGGTCGGCAAACTTTCTGTAAAGTGCCAATCAGTTTTGCCAACATAGTCTTTATTGTAGTTACTCAACTCCAACATAGTAGTACAATAGATGAAAAATAGAAACCATAATTGTGTTCCAGTAAAATTTTTATTTACAAATGCAGGCAGGCCAATCTCTTTTCTAGATAATTAAAGAAAAAGGAATCCATTTTTATCATCCTGCTACTTGGTTTGGTATAGCAACAGATGAGAAACTGCAATCTTTGGGGATGGGATGGGTAGGAATGTACATTTATTCTAAGCGTATTTTCCTCACTCAGTGAATTTCAACATTTGCTGCATGTTAGAAATCTCTGCGACACTTTAAGAAAATCAGATTTTAAAATGCGATGCCCAGGCTACAAGGAGGTAAGTTAAATCAGAAGGTGGCGATTTGATACCCAGTACTAATATTTTTTTAAAGATCCAACATGCCATCAAGAGTAGAAATAACTTTTTTAGCTGTAGCTTACTGAAAATAGTCAAACACCATAAACACATTAGCACCTCGAACATATAAATGTTACCAGAAGCACCTTGGCAGAAGTTCCTCAGCAGTATTTATCCAGGTTTTGTATTATCTGATTCGTTCTTTTTTTTTTTTTTTTTTGGTGCCTACATTGATTCTGCTCCATGAATTCATCTAGGCAACTTCATTAACTTATTTTTTGAATATTTATCTCAGCTTTTACCTGAAACATTTCTTTCACAACATGTGGAATATTTCTCCTAGGTTCACAGTCTACTGAAGGTGCTTTTGCAAACTTACTACTGAGAGCTATCTCACATAGTTGACTCTGTCTTGCTTCTGACCCCTAAGTCGTCCTTGGTCAATCTTGGGCATAGGCCAAGCTAACTTTGGGAGGAATTTAGTTTACAGTTTAACTTGAACACAACAATAACCCCTCCTTAAACTACTCTTCTCTTTGCTCAGAGACCCAAAACCACCCTTGTGAAACTAATGAAAAGTCGCAAGAATAGGATTATGGGAGGGGCCTGAACTCTGTTAAGATGTAGGCATAGTGTCTATAATCTTTTACTGCTCAGGAGTTATGTGACCAGAGGTCACAAGATTTGTGACTTGACCAATTACTACTATAGATAACATCACTATTGTAGAACCTAAGAATGGTTTTTTGAGATACCTTTCAGACTGTTCCCACCCAGACTCATGACTCAACTGATCCTGTAGCCCCACCCAGAGGTGGACTCAGCATATGAGTACCATTTTCCACACCCCTATGATTTCATCCTCAGTCAGTAAAGATCACCCATTCCCTAGCTATGGTATGAGTGCTAACTTCAGTTCTCTCATGTGAGCCAGCCTCACATCAATTAAACCACTTCTCTACTGCAATGCTGTAGTCTCAGTGGATTGATTTTTGTCTATGCAGTGGGCAGGAAGAACCCATCTGATGATTACATGACTAAAATAAGTAAAAGGCACTCTGCACTCATGCCTTGCTACAGCCAATACTTAATAGAGCCACAGGCTAAAATGTTCTGAAAGTTGTTACTCTTAATTAGCTCTGTGTGTGGGTGTGTATGTGTCGAGCATAGTTTTGTGTTGACTGGAGGGCAGTCATTCTTTGCTGATACAAAATTAACATTTTTTAAATCAGCATTTATCAGCATTTAATTTTTTAATTAAAATCAGCATTTAATGCTAATTTTTTATCAGCTTTATAATCTTTTATCAGCATTTCTCAGGGTTTACCTATTGTTGTTATTTTTAGGTGCAGATGTTTGCTGACACAGCCTCAGCCTCATGGGAGGGACTCAACAAAATGGAATTTGTGGTCTCTTCATTATAGGCAGAGGGTGAAGAAAAATGGGCAGCTTAATATCAGTCTAAGTTTGTTTAGATTATGTGGACTTCTAGATGGCTTGAGCAATTGGTTCTGGAGTATTTAATGTCATATGATTTACAGCAATGTCATAGTCACAGAAGCACTGACAACACCCTAGCTCTTCGTTTCCGAAACCACGAGGTTTCTGGAACACAGGTTAAGATCAGGCTGAGCCCTGTTCTTAGTCATAGAGTGGTGTTTTCTCCTTTTTAATTTTTAAATGAAATAAATCTGTTTTTTCCTATTCAAGGCAATTATAAATTCAAGACATCAGACAGCTTCCAGGACTGAGCCTACCTAGATAAAGTGCGAGGAGGTTAGTGCTGCCCATAATTAAGTTCATTGTTTCCTTCATATATCCCAGCTGAATCACATGACTCTTACACATTTAAGAAAATTAATACTTTTTTTACTTTAGCATTATGTGACCCACACTTTATTATGTTTCACGAGACTCTCTCTGTAGTCTCAACTTTGTATATTGCCTTAAGCCATGAATACAAGTAAACACTGCAGAACATGTGAGGCATTTGATGTAACTGAGTTTTAGAAGATACCTTATTTGATGTTCTGGATAATTATAGAATATCATGTTTCTTTTCAGCAGACTGTCATCTCATATTCACCCCGAATGAAGAATGAGTACATTTAAGAATGTTCTTTTCCTATCAAATTGAAATGTTGCTTCTTTTCATTTTGCATATTTTTGCTTTTTGTGTTCTTTTGATTAGGTGAACTAATGTTTTTTTTTTAATCTTATGGTTTGCTTTTATTGCCAATAGTCAACATTTGGTTTTATTTATTATTTGTATACTTTTTATTATTTTCTAATGTTTAATGTCTGTATTTCTCTTTAGTAATTACTTTCATCAAATTTTCTTAGGTTCATTTGGTTGTCTTTTTAAAAACTATTTTCTTGAATTAAGTATGTAATTAATTTGTGTTCATTTTTTGTTTTTAGAAATGAAAATATTTAAAGCAGAATTTTCCTCTGCAGTGTTCTAGTTGTATCCCATGTTTTCATAACATTCTCTATAACTTCTGTTTTGTCCTTTCTTTGAACTTATGTAAGTGTATCACTTTAAAAATTATCTCATTTTTAGACAATCCAAAATTCCAATAAATCACAGTGTAGACACTATTCTGACTATAACATAACAAAGCTAGAATGTAGCAAAAGAAAACTAAAAACAAAAGTAGAGACACATAGAATCTCTCTTTCTATCTTCTCTCTCTCTCAGATACACACACACAACACACACATACACACAAAAATACTTACATTAACTCCAAACAAGGACTTAAAAGTATTAAACTAATAAAATACTACAAATATTTCTTATGAATCAATTAATATTTTAAAAATCCTTTAAAAAGCAAAACCCACATATTTTAATGCAAAAGAAAAAAAGGAACTATATATCTTGTTCCCAATCAATGTTTTGTAAATGTTAGAATAATTGTAGTTGCATATATAAAAAACACCAATACCTCTTCTCTTAATTGTTAACAAGATAAAGAATGGATAATAGGAGTCAAAGAAATGTAGCACATCTTAATAACTAATATTATGTTTACTAAAACAGAAAAAATTTTCAAAGGAACAAAGATATCTACGTGTAACTATTCAGGGATAAATTCAAGTGAAGAATATTTTCAGAAGTTGAGAAAAATACTATAACATAAAGGAAAGGAAATGAGTAATAAACTACAATTAGACTGAAGAAACCCACTCAAAAAATAATATTCAGAAATAATGTAGAAGGATGTATGTTTTTCTCAAGGGGATTTTATAGGATATTAATTGAAAATAATATAAAATATTATAAAACAATGGATCTAGAAAACCAAGTGGGAATTAGAAATAAATATTTTAAGATATCCTGGCAGTATTGAGCTATGTGAGTTAATTAGTGTTACAGTATAACTTAAAAATGATGAATTAACCTCCAGGCTGATTTAAGCTGATCCATTACACAAAGAAAAATATGAGGTAACCTCAGGTGCCTGTTTACCAAAGACTTTTAAAAAGCAATGTAATAAAGATCATCTTAGTCATTCTAAAGTAAGAATAAATGTCATAAAAAAGAGAAAGTGAGAAATTGAATTATGAAAAGAATTATGCTTTTATTTATGAAATTCTAATTTAGCTTGGAATTAATAATTCTTTTTATTCCGATAAATGAGAAAATGACATAATGCTTATGATGTCCAAGAGAAAACAAGGTAGCAATGCATTTAAAATTTTTATTATTTTATCCTCATGCTACAAGAAATTAGAAGTCTTTAAATAATACATCTTGTCTGGAAAAGCACTTATATTTTGGATAAACTTAGTGTTCTGGAAACCATGTAAAATGTCTAGGTACTTAATGTTTATAAAATCTTAGAGAAGTCAAATTTGTGTATATAATAATATACACAAATATATTTATACATCTATATCAATCTACTTACCTATCCCTGTGCCTTTATATCTGTATCTATGCCTTCAAAGAGACAAGATAGGATGTAAACATTTGAATAAAATTTGTAATGCATGGAAGCATTTATTTAAAATTGTTGTATTTCAATAATAGGCAGAATTATTTTCAAAATATTAACTTGATAAAGGATTTCTTAATATTCTCACTGAATTCATCATGGTTCTCCAGAGAAAAGGAATCAACAGGTTATCTATCTATCTATCTATCTATCTATCTATCTATCTATCATCTATCTATCAAGAGATAAAAATATATTTATTATCAGGAATTGGCTCACATGATTATGGAGGCCAAAAAGTTCCTTCATCTATTGTCTATAACCTGGAAGCCCAGAGAAACCAGTGGTGTAATTCTAGTTCATGCTCAAAGGCTTGAGAATTACAGAAGCCAATGGTGTATGTCCTAGTTCAAGTCTGTGGGCAGGAGAAGATGGATGCCCTTACTCAAATAGAGAAAGTGAATTAAACCTTCTTCCATCATTTTATTCTATTTTATGCCCTCAGCAGATTGACTGATGCTTGTTCACACTAATCAAGGCAATCTTTTTTACTCAAACTACGGATTCAAATGTTAATATCTTCTAAAATCACCCCTATGGATACACTCAGAAATGGTGTTTTGCTGGTTTGGCTCTGTGTTCACACCCAAATCTGATGTTATATTGTAATCCCCAAGTATTGAAGAAGGGCCTGGTGGAAATGATTGAGTCATGGGGACAGACTTCTTTCTTGTTGTGCTCATGATGGAGTTCTTATGAGATCTGATTGTTTGAAAGTATGTAGCACTTCTCCCTTTCTCTCTCTCTCTCTCTCTCTCTCTTTCTCTCCTGCTTCACCATGGTAAGATGTGCTTGCTTTCCCTTCACCCTCTGCCATGACTGTAGGTTTCCTAAGGCCTTCCAGACATACTTCCTGTATAGCCTGTGGAACTGTGAGTCAATTAAACCACTTTTCTTCATCAATTACCTAATCTAAACTAGTTCTTTATAGCGGTGTTGGAATGGACAAATCCATCGGCTATCTGGGCATCCCTTAGTTCAGTCAAATTGATACATAATGTTAGCAATCACATTATCACATTCACCCATGGTGTTTTTTGTGTATTGTGTTTTAAAATTTAATTTTGGATGTCTCTAAAACCATATTTATAATTTTATTTAAAATATCAACAGTTTTCTAAATTCAAATGAAATTCAAATGAAAAACGCATAAATAAATGTTCGTTTTTTGATATTTATAAAAATACATTTTCAAAGCTCATAGCAATTGAAGGACAGTAAAACCATTGCACACACAAACAAACACACAGAGGAATGTTTGGCACACTTATATTAAATGAGTTTCAGTTCACGACACAGGAGCTTAAAATTTTAAGTGCTATCTATGTTTTTACACTTCTCTCAGTCCTAATTGTCACAATTTTGAAAGTCAATATAAAATCTGTCATAATTGAGGGAGATAATGAGAAAAAAATATACACTCAAGAGACTTTTCTAAAATTCTGAAACTTAATTTGAAACAGTAAGAAAATATTCATGTAACTATATAGAAAAGGATATATGAAAACTGCAATCATTTAATTTACTAAATAATTGACGCTTATAAATTTCTTATACTTGAGACTAAGGCAAAGTTTTAGGTATGATCGAACTAGTCTGATGTTCAAAACTCATTTTCTAGTAATTTTTTCCTTCGAATAAACAATTAGGGTCATCTAGTCTTTGCTATAGCCTAAGATTATTTTTAGATATGTTTTGACATTTTCGAATTCACAGGCTCCAAATGCCTTAAGTAATGATTCCACTATACCATTTTTTTTTCATTTATTTAGAACCAGTCTTATATCTAAGTCAATTGAAAGTCAATTTCTTAAATGATTTGAGAAGTGTCAGAAATGTCTACCTGTCAAAAGAGTAATTTTTCCACCATTTCTACAATACTTAAATATTACAAATTAGAGAATAATTTAAATGACACGTAATTATTCCTGGAAATGTAGTAAATTTTGACATCACTAGTTCAAGTAGAAAAGAAAAATAGAAAATATTTTAAAAAATTTAAAACAATTTTACTTAGAATTATACCTAAATGTATTAGAAGTATATATTTATATTAGTCCATTCTCACACTGCTATAAAGCACTACCTAAGACTGGGTAATTTATAAAGAAAGGAGGTTTCATTCACTCACAGTTCCACAGTCTGTACAGGAAACATGAGTGGGGAGACCTCAGGAAATTTACAATCATGGCAGAAGGGCAAAGGAGAAGCAGGCACATCTTCACCTGGGGGGAGGAGAGAAAGAGAACGTGAAGGGGGAAATGCTACACACGTTTAAACCTAAAGATCGCATGCGAACTCACTCATAATCCCAAGAACAGAAAGGGAGAAATCCACCTCCATAATCCAATCACCTCCCACCAGAACCCTCCTCCAACTTTGGGAATTACAATTTGGGATGAGATTTGAATGGGGACCCAGAGCCAAACCATATCATTTTGCCCCTGGCCCCTCTCAAATTTTATGTCCTTCTCATATTTCAAAACACAATCATGCCTTTCCAACAGTCCCCCAAATTCTTAACTCATTCCAGCATTAACTCAAAAGTCCAAGTCCAAAATCTCATCTGAGACAAGGTAAGTCCCTTCCACCAATGAGACTGTAAAATCGAAAACAAGCTAGTTACTTCCAAGATAAAATGGGGATGTAGGCATTGGGTAAATACTTCCATTTCAAATGGGAGAAATTGACTCTACAGCTCCACTAGGCAGTACTCTATTGGGGTCTCTGTGAGGGGGTTCCAACTTCACATTTTCCCTTTGCACTTCCACAGTAGAGGTTCCCCATGAGGGCTTCACCCCTGGAGCAGACTTCTGCCTAGACACCCAGGTATTTCCATACATCCTCTGCAATCTGGGTGGAGGCTCCCAAGTCTCAATTCTTGCTCTCTGCACACCCACATACTTAAAACCACATGGAAACTACCAAGTCTTCTTATGACTTGCAGCCTCTGGTGCAGTAGCCTGAGACATATCTGAAGTCTTTTTACCCATGGCTGGAGCTGGAGCAGCTGGGATGCAGGATGCCAAGTCCCAAGGCTGTGCGGAGCAGCGAGACCCTGGACCTGGCCCACAAAAACAGTTTACCCCCATGGCCTCCAGGCCCATGATGGGAGAAGCTGCCATGAGGTCTCTGAAATGACTTTGAGGCATTTTCCCCTATAGTCTTGGCTATTAACAAGTGGCTTTTCTTTATTTATGTAAAATTTCTGCAGTCTTAAATTTCTCACCAGAAAAAATGGGTTTTTCTTTTCTACCACATGGTTGGTCTGCAAATTTACCAACCTTTTATGCTCTGTTTCCCTTTTAAATATAAATTTCAATTTCAGACCATTTATTTATGAAGTCGTAACAGCCTACACTGTTAGAAGCAGCGAGGCTGCATCTTGAGTGCTTTCCTGCTTGGAAATTTTCCCACTACCAGATACCCTAAGTCATCGCTCTGAAGTTCAAAGTTCCACAAATCTCTAGAGCCATGGCACAATGCCACCAGCCTCTTTGCTAAAGCACAGCAAGAGTGACTTTTACTCCAGTTTTTAATAGGTTCCTCATCTCCATCTGAGACCAGTCTGGACTTCACTGACCATATTACTATCAGCATTTTGGTTACAACTATCTTATAAGTATCTAGGAAGTTTCAAACTATTGCCAATCTTCCTGTCTTCTCCTGAGCCCTCCAAACTGTTCCAACCTCTGCCCATTATCCAATTCTAAGCCTGCTTTCACAATTTTAGGTGTCCTTATAGCAATGCCCCATTCTTCTGGTACCAATTATCTCTATTAGTTCATTCTCACATTGCTTTTAAGAACTAACTGAGACTGTATAATTTATAAATAAAAAAGATTTAATTGACTTATCTTTTGTTCCACAGGCTGTACAGGAAGCGTGGCTAGGGGAGGCCTCATGAAATATACAACTGTGGCAGGAGGTGAAGGGCAAGCCATCATGTCCTACATGACTGAAGCAAGGGGAAAAGAGAGCAAATGTAGAAGTGCTACATACTTTTAAACAAACAGATCTCGTGAGAAATCACTCACTATCACAACAGCAAGAGGGAAACTCACCCCTATGATGTAATCACCCCCTACCAAGTTTCTCCCCCAACATTGGGAATTACAATTCCATATGAGAGGTGAGTGGAGACACAGAGCCAAATCATAGATTATTTTAAAAATAATTGAAATTTAGGATTGGTTAACTTGAAACATAAATAATTTCTGAAATTACCTATTGAACTCTTCTTTGATGTTTTTGTTGGATCTGGGAAAAGGAAAATAAGTTTACAAGTTGGAGATACTGATATTTTTATGAAACTTGAATTTCTAAACATTTCAAGATATAAAAAATTATATATGCTTAATATTTTTAAAAAGGTGAGAGATTTGTAAATGATGTATCCCTTTTAGAAGTGTTAGCCCGGATGAGACTGGGGGGATTCACAATATCTACAGGATACAAATTATTCATTGCCATTTGTACCCTTCAAAACTATGATGATTTTTATGTGTCAATTTGACTGCTCTATGGAATGTGTATATAAACATTATCTCTGGATGTGCCTGACAACATGTGCCCAGATGAAATTAGCATTTTAATTGGTGGGCTCAATGATAAACTGCCATCTCCAATGTGCATGGGAAATCAATCATCCAATCTATTAAGGGTTTGAACAGAACCAAAATGTAGAAGAAGGAAGAACTAACTCCTTTTTGCTTCCTGCCTGCATAGTTGAGCTGGAATATCACTCTTCTGCCTTTGCACTGGGTTTTACACTCTTAGTTCCCTCGGTTCTCAGTCCTTAGGACTTGGACTGAAATTACACCACTGGCTTTCCTGGGTCTCCAGCTTGCATGCAGGCAGTATATTGTGGGACTTCTCAGCCTCCACAATACTGTGAGCCATTTCCTCATAATAAATCTCTCTTACACACACACACACACACACACACACACACACATGTTCTGTTGGTTCTGTTTCTCTGGACGACCTTGACTAATACAAGACTATGGAGTAGAAATGAAAGCTTCCAAATTTATTTTATGAAGCCATATTTTACTCATATAAAAGCTTCAAAAAAACAGTTTAATTTAGGAACATAATTGATTAAAAAAACATATTTGTGAATTTAATTGGTTAGCATATCACATATTGATATACCAAAACAAGTGGGGTTTATACTAGGAATGCAAGGATGATTCCATGTTCATACCTTATTAGTATAATTTGCTTTGATATCAGTAATCTGCCTGCTCATTTTCCCTATAGTTTCTCCCACCACACTGACCTATCTCCTGCAACTCTCCACACTGGGGTGGTAGAGAGAGAATGTGTAGGACTATACAAGTAGTTTTCCTGGTGAAGGCCTGAAAATGTGTCATAACACTTCTGCCTATATTTGTTAGTCAGAACTTAATCACATAGAATACCTCACTCCAAGGTGCTGTGTGTGTGTGTGTGTGTGTGCCTGTGTATACACACACACACATGCACTGTGCCTAAGAGATGTTTTCTGTATATTCAAGATGAAAACCAAAAAATTTGTAGACACCTAGTAAACCAGGCCATGTTCTGCAGATAACTTTTTAAATACACAAATAATAAACTACTTATTTAAAAATTTCAGTACTATTAGAAAACACCTTTGAAGAACAAATCCAGTTTACAAAAGCCTCAAAAATAAAAATAATTTAACTAGAAATGTTTTAAGTCTATGTAAAAAATTAAGGAATAGCTAAGAAGACCTGAATAATTATACTCACAGGGTGATCTTGAGACAATATAGTATCAGAAAGATACTCTTTATCCCTATTTTAATCTATAATTTTAACATATATAACATATATCTAATAATATGTCAGTGTGAACTTTGCAGTTAGCAAAGTTGATTCCAAAATTTACATTAAAATAAATAATAAATATTCTTAAGGAATTTTATAACAATAAAATAAAATAAGGAAATACTGTTTGTATTATTAAAACTAATTTAAAGTTTGCTATAATAAAAATAGATTTATCCAGTAATTTCACTCTTAGAAATTTATCATACAGATAAGCACAAAACATAGAACATTTGTAGCCAGTACTATAATGGAACTGATTCATCAAATTGTATGCCCACTCTTTTGGAATAGATGACCACTGTAGCCACCTAGTATGAATGTACTGTGATAAGCACTTGCTGATATCCGTTCTGTAAACTACATTTATTACAGCAATGTTTAGTATACCAAAAAGTCAGAAAACCACAAAATACCAAAGGATTCGGGACCAAATAAAAACTGATATAATACACAGTCATAAAAAGAATTAGGTAGTGTGGTATAATCCCCAAGACAAATTGTTAATTTTTTCCAGGTGAAAATAAATGAGTACATTATGCTAACATTTTTTGTATAAATATTTTAATTTTGGTATAATTATAGATAAAAAATAATTACAAAGATAGTACAGAGGGAGGTCCCTTGTACTCTTCACTGAATTTTCCATAACAGTTATATCTTACATAACTATAGTATAATAATATCAAAACCAGGAACTTAACATTGGTACACTGTATATATATAGTTCTATACCATTCATTCACATAGGTAGACTTATGTAACCACTACAATCATGTAGAGACAAAATTACTCTATCACCTAAAAGATCTCCATCATGCTACATCTTTACAGTCACACCCCTACCCACCATACCTAACCCCTGAAAACAAATCAAATATTTTCTAATTCTATAATATTGACATTTCATGAGCGATTTATGAATGAAATCATACTGTATGTGACTTTCTGAGATTAGCTTTTTTGTTGTTTTTAAACTCAGCAGACATGCTGGAGATATATCCAAAGTGCTGAGTGTATCAATAGTCTCTTCTTTGTATTATTGAGTAGTATTTTACAGTATGAATGTACTGCAGTTTGTTTAACCATCATTCGTTAAGGGATATTTTGGCTGTTTCCAGTGTTAGGCTATAATTTCCGAGGAAAAGTTCTCCCAAAACTGCTATAAGAAATCATGGGAACATTTAGGGCATAGATCTGCATTTCTCTGCCATGAATGCCCAAGGAGTAGTACGCATGGTAAGTGTGTGTTTAGTTTTTTTAAAAGAAATTGCCAAAGTAGTTTTCTATAGAGACTGTACCATTTTACATTTCTGCTAGCAATGTGTGAGAGACCCAGATTCTCTGCATCCTTTGGTTATTACTATTTTTATAGTTACTATTATTCAATAACATAAATTTACTAAATATATTTAAATTAAATCACTATATTTATAATATTTAAACATCACTTTTATTTTAGCCATGCCAGTAAGTATGTAGTGATATTTCATCCTGGTCTTAATGGCTAGCAATGTTGAACATCTTTTCCTATGCTTGTTTTCAATCCACATATTCACTTCTGTGAAATGTCTTTTTATATCCTTTACACATTTTAGAATTAAATAGTTTGGTTTCACAGTTGAGTTTTGATAATTATTTATATATTCTTATATGAATTCTTTGTTAGATATATAGTTTTAAAAATATTTGCTCCAAATCTGTAGTTTATCTTTTAACAGGGTTTTTCATGGAACAAAAGTTTTAATATAAATGAAGTTCAATTTAGCAATATTTTTAAAGAATTGTACTTTGATATCATTTTAAAGGATTCTTCACCAAGCCCTATGTCTCAAATATTTTTTCTTATAAGTTGTTTTAGTTTTGTTTTACATTGAAGACTATGATCTATTTTGAGTTGATATTTGCACAAAGTGTGAAACCTAAATCAAAATTTGGGGGATTTTTGTTTGGTTTTGTTGCTGTTGTCTATGGCTATTCAGTTGCTCCAGCACCATTTGTTAAAAATACTATCCTTGATCCTGTTACCAAAAACTAGGGATTTGGTCTAGATCCTGTTGCCTACCAGACAGAAGCCTAATCACAAGACAACATTGCAGCAGAGAATATGACAGATCAGTCTCAAATCCATCTCCCTGACTGAGTAAAATTGGGGATTATTATATAGTACGGAAGAAATGTAACCATGTATGGGAAAACAGAAATTAGAGAGAGTTAAGGAGAAGAGTTGGTCAACAGGAAGCAGGTGGTTGGTTAGGCAATCATGATAGTTGAGAGATCTGGCATCTCATGGTACAGATGCAGTGACCTGGAAAGAAATGTATTAGTTTAAGTTCCTTGATACTCCCAGATGGGAGGCCTGATGGTTGATTTTCCTGACAAAAGAACTCAGCTAAGATAAATTTAACTTTTTCAATTTTTTAGACTGGAAGGGTCTATTTCTATGTTTATTCATAAGAAACGATAAACATCAGTCCTGTGGGACAATTGAGCCAGTTTCAATCTTTTAAATTGATTTTGCACCTTTGTCACAAATCTGTTGGTTGTACTTTTGTGGCACTATTTCTGAGAGTTCCCTATTCTATTCAATTGACTGTTTCTATCCCTCTGCCAATACCTTAGAGTCTTGATTACTGTGGTGATGATAAGACTTAAAATCAGGTAAAACGGTTCCTCCTACTTTTTTCCCCCAGAATTTGTTTTAACTATTTTAGTTCCTTAGCTTTTCGATATCAAATATATGTTATTTTGGAGAAAACTGACATCCTTGCTATGCTGAATCTTCCAATCCATGAATATAGAATATTTCTCCACTTATTTAGAATTTATTTGATTTTTTTCCAACAGTTTTATAGTTTTCAGCATTCAAGCCTTGTAATTGTTTTGTTAGATTAAAACCCTTGCATTTCGTTAGTTATGAATGACTATACGTAAAACTCGATTTTTAATTTCTGTTTTCATGTATTCATTGCTAGTATATAGAAATATAATTTCATGTGTTATGTATAGCCACCTTGCTGAACCCTCTTATTAATTTTACATTCCTTGTGATTTTCTTCATGGAACATCATGTCATCTTAAAATTGAAGCAGTTTTAATTAATTCTCTCCAAGCAGTAATTTTTTAAACTCTCATTTTATTGTCCTACTATGCTTGCTAGAAATGTCAGTACTGTGTGGACTAGTAGTAGTGAGGATTGACATTCTTATATTATTTCTAAGCTTAGGGGGTAAGCATTCAATATTTCACCTTTTAATATGATTTAGACTATAGGTTTTATAGATTCTCTT